ACAAAGAGTGACATATTTTACTTCATCAAATGAGAACTTCTGTTTATAAAGAAAGAGACACGGTAAGCTATAGACTGGAGAAGATAATGGACATACATACCAACTGAAAAAGTATAGATTCCTAAATACAGAGAGAGCTCCTATGAATTAATAGAAAAAGAAACTATAATAGAAGAATCAGCAAAGAATAGGAACGTGTAAGTCATAGAATGTAAATAATTAATAAATACATGAAAAGATGTTCAACCTCACTAGTAATGAAGGAAATGTAAACAAAAACCACAAGATACCATTTCTCAGGTATAAGACTAAGAATTCCTTAAAACTCTGAAGGTTCCAAATTTAGGCAGGGATATTAAATAACAGCAATTTGCATCAACTATTAGTATAATTTGGAACAACTAATTTGATGATCAATCTGGGAATATTTAGTAAAGTTGAAGGAGCATATACCCTTAAATCCAGTACCTCTACATCGATGAATATACAAAAAGAAACTCCCAAACAAGGTCCATGTATATAAGGCAACATGTACGAGAATATTCAGGTCAGCATTATCCATAACAGTAAAAAGTCTAGAAGCAACTTACACAACTGGCAGCAGAAGAATGGATAAATTAAGGTATAGCCATTGAAGGAAAAATGCAATTTCAGAAATGACCTAGAGCTACATGCCTCAACAGGGATCTGAAAAAAAGCCAGTTGTAGAAAGGTTTATACAGTAAAGTACATACATATTAAGTTTTAAAGCATGCAAAGCCAAGCAAATATTGCTTAGATCTGTAGAAGTCTGTGGCAAACCCACGAAGAGAAGCACAGGGGATGTTGGTATAAAATTCAAGCTAGTAGCTCTCTTTGTTATAAGATGAAGAAAACACAGAGAGGCACAGTGGACTTCAAAAGTGCTGCAGTGTTCCATTTCCCAAGCTGGATGGTGAGATATGAGCATCACTTCCTTATCATTCTTTAAACTGTTTAAAAATACTACATATTATTTTTTGTATACATGATGTACAATATTCAAAACAAATTTATTTTATGGTGAAAAAAAGAAATGGTAATGGAGTGTGCAGAAATTACATGTAAGAGCAATAAATAAGAAATGATTCTCTAAAAGAAATTCCAAGCAAATTTAAGAGAAAAAAATTCAGATAATAAATTTGGAAATAAAAGGATATAATATACAATGTTAAAGTCAAAGATGATACATAGTTGTAATCTATTTTATAACTCAAAAAATATGATAAAACTAAATAATAAAATGTACAGTTGATGTAACAAAAAGAAACCTCAACAGATTAATAAATAAGGAAGAAATTATGAAAGGTATTAGCAACTACTCAATTAGGAGATCAGTTTTCTTTACATTTAGTGAGTGAACAATTTCTATGTAATTTAAGCTCTTTTGAAGAGGGGAAGAAAGTGTAACACTTGAAGGGTCAGATGGGTCTCCTGCTGGCTTCATGCTAACCCTAACTTGCTTCTTAATAGCAGCATTACATCAGTCCAAATTAGTTCAGCAGCTGAGGCTCCATTTTCTCCGAAGTGGAGTCAGTCATCCTCGCCTCACAAGTTGTAAGAATTAAAAGGGGCAGCTAACACAAATCCCCCCAAATCTCTCCCTGGTGCTGATCTACAGGTGCTCAAATGTCAGCTTTCTTCCCCTCCTCTGACTCATAGCACAGACAATAGGAAAACTAAAAAGGAAAGCTATTTACCAAAGACTTTGTTCTTATTATGATTAAAAGTAAGCGTCAGCCAGGCAAGGTGGCTCACACCTGTAATCCCAGAACTATGGGAGGCTGAGGCTGCTGGATCACTTGAGCCCAGGAGTATGAGACCAGCCTGGGCAACATAGTGAGACCATCTCCACACACAAAAAAAGTATATATTATAAACCATGACTAATTAGTGTAACAATGGAAAATTTCTAGATCCAATACCTTGAAAACCTATTATCATTGCTCTCTATGGTCTTTGATGTCTTAGCCAGTCATTAAGAAACGATACAGAAATACAGAAACAAGAGGAAAAGAGCTAAAAATGAATTCAATAAACATATGAATGAATATGAACTAGGAAGGGAAAATACTAGTCATTTGGAAACGACTAGCACTTCTTTACAGCAGAAATTCTCAGTGAACAAAAAACAAAATAAGAGACCTATTTTTTTTAAATATAATTTTATTAGGAGGCTGAGGCAGGAGGATTGCTTGAAGTCCAGAGTTTGAGATCAGCCTGGACAAAATACTAAAAAAGAAAGGCCAGGTGCAATGGCTCATGTCTGTAATCCCAGCACTTTGGGAGGCTGATGGGGGCAGATCACCTAAAGGTGATGAGTTTGAGACCACCCTGTCCAACATGGAGAAAAGCTGTCTCCAGTTAAAATACAAAAAATTAGCCAGGCAAGGCAGTGGGTGCCTGTAATCCCAGCTCCTTGGGAAGCTAAGGCAGGAGAATTACTTGAACCCAGGGGGCAGAGGTTGCAGTGAGCCAAGAATGCGTCACTGCACTCCAGACTGGGTGACAGAGCGAGACTCTGTCCCAAAAACAATAATAAATAAATAAAAATTAGCCAGGCAGTGGCAAGCACCTGTAGTCTCAGCTATTCAGGAGCCTGAGGCAGGAGAATCACTTGAACCCAGGAGGCTCAAGGATGCAGTGTGCCATGATTACACCACTGCGCTCCAGCCTGGGTAACAGAAGGAGACTGTGCCTCAAAAAAAAATATATATATATATATATATATATGTATATACACACATATATAATTTACATGAATTATACGTTATGTAAATTTATTAATATAAATTTATAGAATTCATAATTTATGTAAAATATATAAAATTTTAATAAATTATATATACATATAAAACTTTAATAGGAGGGCCGGGCGCGGTGGCTCAAGCCTGTAATCCCAGCACTTTGGGAGGCCGAGGCGGGTGGATCACGAGGTCAAGAGATCGAGACCATCCTGGTCAACATGGTGAAACCCCGTCTCTACTAAAAATACAAAAAATTAGCTGGGCATGGTGGCGCGTGCCTGTAATCCCAGCTACTGAGGAGGTTGAGGCAGGAGAATTGCCTGAACCCAGGAGGCGGAGGTTGCGGTGAG